GAAACCAGCAGAGACAAGGCATGTCTTTCTTGCCTTCCTAAGTGCTATAGAATTTAATTAACATAATTAAGATATTTATAAATCTGAGTATAAATAAGGTAAGAGATTCTAAAACCATTTAAAAGTCCCTAACAATTCCTTTTTTTTTTTCCCTAAGTATCAAAGACAGCACCAATAGCTAAACATTTTCCAATACTCAAGAGTGCAGAATGTTCTAAGTATTTGAGGACTGTCATGCACCCTTAATCCTGTGATCCAAGCCTACTGAAATTGCTCCCAGGTGTATAAAGTCTATCTGCTTGGATCCCAAGCTGGCATTAGCCACAAATGGATATCTCACTTTTTTTTAACAGCAAAAACAATCTTGGATCTTATTTAGTTCAGTTAGATATTTAATAGCGGAATTTGCCAGACCATCACTGAAGACACTAGTTCATCTTGTCGCTGCTGCTTGGTTTTCTTGTTCACTCTTCTGTGTCCTTGGCCACCAGAAATTACTAAAACTGAACTTGCTTTCATTTTCTTAGATTTTTGTCTTTTACTTTTAAATGAGATATTCTGATCCTTCAAAAGCTCATAAATGTTACTGTCCTCTGGTCTGTGTTCTAGGGAGCTTGATCCATGAGACAAAGTAAGGGATCCAGAAGATGATGACAAGTCACTTCTTTGTGCAATGGACCCAACTGAATCCCCCAGCCAAACTGCAGTGTCCTGGGTGTTACTAAGGGAAGAGCCTGGTCTTTCACTGTGCAGAATGTTCTTTTGATCATCATCCTTAGGTTCTGAGCCAGGAGGGAGGCTGTTCCTCAATTTGTTTCTGTTCTTCTTGTTTATAGATGTAGCTGTTACAAGAAACTTGACTGGACTATTGTGTGCATGGTATGACACCATTCCTCTTCCTGGAGCCAAAAGAAAAGACACAATTAACGAACATTATTTTTCAGACCACAGTGTTCTACCATAATTAGTTCATGAAATTTGCTCAGAATAGCATAACACTTAAAGCCCTATTATATGCATCCAGTCTTTCGCCTTGTGTGGACACTGTTTACAGAAAAAAATAAGTACATAAATAATGTCCTACCATAAGTGTTTTAGGATTAATAAATCAGATGAAATAGGGCATATGAACTTTACCTGAAGCATTTTTGTGCTCTGTTCTCACTACAGCATGAGCACATAAATACTGCTGACGTTTTAGCTGGCATCAACACAAACGTAACGCTGAGTTTTCTCCAGTAATCCCCACATATTTTGTGTACCCCAAATCAATCCTGTTCTACCTCTGCACCTCTCCAAAACAACATAAGAACATCTGTTTCATTGCAACAGACCCATCCAAACTGTACAACAGGAACTAAAACTCATCTTTCTGGTTGTCTAGTTACCATTACAGATTCATAAGGAATTGACTGAAAAATATTTTTTTCTTTTTTCTTTTTTAAAGTATTTAATCAGTGGGATATTGGTGGTACAAGGAAGATTTACACAGTGCAAATCATCAGAATGTATGAAAAACAAATTGCACATGGTCAAATTGAGAAGCTATAACAATATCAATAGATGTGCCTTTTACAGCAAAAAAAGGGAGAAAAAAAATTGCATACTACCAAGTAAGCTACAATATGAAAAAGAGCTCGGCTAGCAAGGGGAAAAGCCCACACACCTTACAAATCACTACATCCATCCCTAACTCCCAAATGCATTTCATGTTACAAGAAAACATATTCTGTTTTTACAGAAGTATAATCATATAAAGATGAATTATCACTATTGGAAACTTAATGGGGACAAGCTACGATTTTAAAATTCAAAATGCATGTCTCAAAGACTATAAAAACACGTCTCTAAATGTAATGTTGCTAGATTTGAGAAATCTGACAAATCTTAATCCCAGACAAATGCAAGAATATATGACATAAACCAAAATAATAAAAACAGAAAATGGAAGAATGAGAGATTTTTTGATTCTGCAGCTATGCATATTCTTGTAATTGCATTTATTTTCACCTAAGATAGGTTCCAGATTTTTACAAAGCATTTATCCTGTGTCATACCAGATTATTGCTGTGTATTTTGCTGAACACAGAGGATTTCATTTTCATTTTGTGAAGTTACATAATCTTTTTTTTTTTCCCCCTGGAGGAAGCTGCAAACGGCTTGCCTCATAAAATATGCCAGCTTCCCTCTGCAACACAGAAGCTTGAGCAGAATTCTGAATCCAAAACACTGGGGAAAAGCCCCTATTAAACACACTTTATGACCTTGCTTCTGCTAGTAGCTTAAACATTTGTATAGTGATGCAGCAGCATTTGTATGTTTGTATTTCAAATGGGATAATATGAAAGTAACTCACAAATACATCTCTCCAGATTGCAAAAAACGTCTATCACTGTTAAAAAAATGAAATATATACTCTCATTGATCTTCCAAGTCTCCAGTTTGGGGGAAAAAGGAACACAACCAATTTATTCAATAACCAGTTAGACAACATGCTCATTTTTCAGTATCTGTGTCTCTAAACCTAATGCATCTATTTTCCCTAAATCTGGTAAAAAACTGTCTGCATTCTCTTTTCATTCCCATATATTTGGCTGTATTCTGACAGGATTAATGCCTCTTAAATTATCTCTTAAAAACAGTTGTCCCCTCTCAAACAACTAGGACAAGACAAGACAAGTATCTGGATAATATTGTAAAGCTTGGAAAGAGCAAGTATAATTTCATCACACAGCTCTATTATCTAAACAATACATTTAATTTGGCAGGTTCACTTAAGTTATGGCAAAAGAGACGGGATATCTTCAGTACTTGATCTGTTTGAGAAATTTCACTCACCAGTTACTTTGGGAATCCCCTGCAAGCGCGGCACTGGTAACGCTACGATTATGCCCAGGTTTGTTCCAACCAGCAATAACCCATGGCACACCAGGAGGCTGGTCACAGAGACACGCTGCTGCCCTGTGGAATTTAGCAAGTGCTCCGTTACTGAACAGTGATGACCTTTGCTTTGATCAAAGCAACTTCAGGCAAACACAATCACCTGTAGCATCTCAATTCCACAAAGCGTTCATTGCAAAGGCAAATATTTTGCTGGATTCTGGAATTACAGTTTACATACATGAAAATTTAAATATTATTGAACATCTGAAACATTCTGCCCCAAATCTCTGAACCACAGCATCTAAAGGTAGACACAGACTGTCTCTACAAACATGCTTTTATGAATAGGCTATGTTTATATATTCCAAAAAATAAAACTGAAAGGCATTTCACAATACTCAGTAACACACTAAAGACTCAAGCCTGCTCACAGTTACTTTTTTCTCCTAATTTTTCATCTGTGAAACTCTATCAGAACTGCTGAGTCCACCTGTCTAGCTTTGGGTCCTCGCATACAAGTATGGCATTGGCATATTGGAAGAAGTCTAATGGAAAGCAACCAAGATGATCAGGAGACTGGAGATACCAAAGGAAGTGCTGTCTGCACATACCTGATGGAAGGATGCACAGAAGACAGTCAGACTCTATCCACATGTGCACAGTGATACAATAAGACACAGCATGCTCATATTTAGAGCATGAGAAAATTGTATTCTACACAGGGAAAAACTGCATCACAATAAAAGTGGTCAAAAACTGCAGTGGGTTGCTCAGAGAGGTTATGGGATCTCCATCCCATCCCAAAGTATTAAAAATTTGACTGGACAAGACCTTGAACAAACAGTCTAATCAGGCTTTCTTCATGAAGGATGAACAAGACCACCTCCAGATTAAGTTCCAATCAAAATTATGATTCTATAGTTTTCTACAACACTATTTACAGAATTGCTATTTTTCCAATGAAAACAAAGTAATTTTTTTGCATGTAATGTTGAGTAAAATATGTTTGATTCAGTTTGGATGGATTTTCAAAATGGCCTTGACAAGTTTCAGAAGTGGGAACTATGAGTTGCCCAAACTTTTGCCCAAGTTTATGGGGAGGAGCATTTAAACTCTGCTCAAAGCTTGAAGAGTTTCAGGTTCAAAACATACACATTCTCAGATTTATTATTAACTCTACATGTAAGAGAGCAGTCATTCCATCTTCATCACAGCTCTCTAGCTGTGAATCACTCCATTAGCAGGTAGAAAATCTTAATTCCATGTTTGATTTAACTTGAATAAACCCTCATGTTCAACACTTTGGAGAAGGATCTTAATTATGGTGTTTCACAAATGAATGCATTTTCTTTCTTGTCCCTTGAAGCTGAGCTAATTTACATCCAAGAATATATGAACTGCAGGCTCAATGTGGAAGCAGGGAAGGAGCAGCTTGACAGTCACTCAAAGCACTTGACTGGAAAACAGAAGGCAGACCACAGTTCAAGTCTTTCCTCACAGAACTTTACAAAACCATAATATTAACCCAGCAGTGGTGTATTTTGAGAAGTTCATAAAAGATCAGATCTGGAATCCAAGGTTTGTCTATCTAAAAGCACATCCTGAAACACCCTAAAGGCACAATGATTATGTTATCCTGGTCAGGTATAACAAGGACAAGTAAGTTTAAAAGGCTCCATCTAGTTGTGCAGACCTTCAAAGACTCCTGCATTGAGTTTCATGATCTGCAGGTGTTTATGGTGGTAGGGTGCATCATCCCTCCTCAGCTAAATAAGCAAGGATGGTCTATGTTGTACACAAATTATAAATCTTTTGAAGTTTGCCTTTTCAATGGGTTTGTTGTTAGGTTTTTCTTTGTTTTGTTTTGGCTTTTTTGTGATATTAATGGGATTAATTTAGTTTCCAAAACAAAGCACACAAAGGCACTCCTTCAGCACAAAAGAAGTCCCAACACCTCTGTGTCTGGAATTTTCAAAAATCAGTATTTGAATTCTATGATTTAGAGCTCAGGCTTGCTCAAATTATATATGACATGTGAGTCCTCTCCCACCATTTGTGCCACAGCAAGTGCAAGCTAAGGTGAGCTCAACTTAGAGCTTGTTTTATAAACTACAGAAATACTTGAGAACAATTTTTTAACTTTTAAGGTTATCAAAAGTTCCAAATGCACAGTTGCCTCTCAATCCCCTGCAGAAGCAAGATGCTCCCATTTTTAAACAATGGATCTTTAATGCTTTTGAAGCATTTAAAAGATAACATTATATTAATGATTTCCTGCTCCAAACCTGAAGCAACTTTTAGGTAGTAATTTTTACCTGGCAAGTATGCTTTACTGTTTCCATAAGTAAACAATCAAATTATCACCCAGCAACTTAGAATCTTAAAAACTGAGTACAACCTAAAGCATGAAACAGCTACAGTGAGGTCAAAACAAAAATTGCTTGCCGTGAAATCTTGGAAAAGCACAAAACATCTGTATCTGAGAAGATGCTTTGAAATAACATAAAACAACTAAAAACATATATATATAGATAGAGAGATTAAAAAATACTAACTTAAAATATTAATTTATCTGCTAGCCAAGGTTTGAAATCATACTTTGTTATTTTCTGGGTTTTTGTTTTGATATATTTCAAATTCAGAGAAAAATAGTCAATCCAATTATCCAGAATGTATTATGCAATAAGTAGACAAATTAACAAGTTGAGAAGGGAAAATGTTAAACATATATTCCAAAGCAAATAAAATACTCATCTTTAAATAGCATCTTTTAGCTCACACTGTTCCAATGAGGGAAAAATTGTACAATAATCTAACCAAGGTCTTGACTTTACAAGAACCAAAGCAAATAATTAAGCATATTGTCTGCTCTGTGTTCATCCTTCTCAGGTTTCCATTACAACAACCATCAGAGCTGGATAAATCCTCATGGATCTGAATTCAGCCCCAAATAGGTGCAAGGACATTGCTGCATATCCTCTCACATGGCCATGCTGCTCTTACAATGTAAAAAAACAGCCCACTGTACAAAACTGCTGGGCTAACCTAAAGTTTTCTCATCTTTTTATCATTTTCCAGCAGTGATCATAAAGCAACTGCATTTCATAGTCTGGCACCTGGCAGGGTGGGAAAAAAGCAAGCTGTAAAGCCTCATAGTAGGGTTGGTTTTCAATAGAGAGGAAATGACACTTTATTTTCTTTGCTTTTACCATCTGTTTCCAGGAAACACACATGTCATTAGAGGATATATGGATATAAACAGAATACATCAAGTTAAGCAGAAATCATCTCTTTGTTAAACAGGTAACCTGTCATCATCCATATGAGCAATGAAGTATTAAGGTCACAGTAATTACTGTAGTCTCTTTAAAAGGGCAAATTCTTTTAGAGCTGAGAGCAAAAACATGTTTAAGGATGTCCTTTAATAAAATACTGTGACTATGAAAAAACAAGTGGTCTGTTCATGTACAGTATGATTTTTTTGGTGTGACCTGTGACAAAGGCTGGTGCAAAACTGCTTTGTTGATCCTTCAGCTATGCATCAAAAACATTTAAGCATAAACTTGCTCTACAAACCTATGTTGCACTAGTGAAATGTGTATTTGTCTTCAAATGTTAACAGATTTCTCTGCTGCTCAGTATGCCCTCTGTTAAGATAACAGAGCTGAGCTTGGGATCCTTAAAAGCAATCCAGCTGTACTGTGAATCCACAGTGAACTAGATAGTGAAATAAACTACTAGCTGGATCTATTATGTTCTTCCTCTCAACCATTCTTTTCCTTTCTCACATGGCATTTGGTCTTTCATTACAGAACACAATCTTGTTATATATTATTAAAAATATTTCTGATGATATACTAAATAAATGTAGTGCAGACCAGTCTAGACTAAATGTCTATCCCACAGTCACCTCTGTGACCCTGGTTTCATTTCCAGTCTTGAATTCCTAACACAAACTTTCCACAGCTCAAGAAAGTGGGAGCCCTTCAATCTCCAGTACTCAGAAGTGGACTGCCACAGATTTAAAATTACCTCCAGCAGCTAAAAGAATCTGCCAGACATAGTCCGTATTTTGCATTACTAAACTTCATCACATCATAAGGACAACCTCCTACTCAGCTTAGTTACTGTAGTTATCCTTTAAGTACAGTACTGTAACTCACAGTAACCATTCCTAACAGCGACAGTGTTTTTCTTTTACTTGTACTGTATGACAACAAAAAAAATTCATTAACTTAATGAAGCAACATTCTTCATATTTACATCACTTTAAGGGAAGACAGAGGTGACACCTCTATTTAGCCTACTGGGCCACTATTACATATTGTTACTACTAAAATCCTGGGAAAAGAAGTCCAGCTTCTTCAATGTTATACAAAGATCTTTCCTTTTTTAATCTATCTTCTTAAGACTCTTACTTTTACACCAATTTCTTCTTTCATTTCAACACCTCTTGAATTTTTACTTATCTGTTACTTCTGCATATTAAGGAACTTCTGTTGAATTTCAGAAAGCTAACAGAGCTGTTTCCTCTAAAATTAAATGTCATAAAAATCTCCTATGAAGGCAAATGCATATATTGTAAATACACAGCTATTTCACCATGCTGTAATTCAGTTTCACTTTGTTGGTTTTTTATCTCAGTATATACTATAGAACTTGATTTACTCTTTAGCTCCTTTTAGTTCTGAAACTGCTGCTTTAATCCTTACTGCTGCTTTATTATGTAAACTCCTACTACTCTGTCTTTTAGCTTTTGTTGTTGCAGGATTTTTGAGATCATATAAAGAGGCCTGAGAGCTCCTGCTAAATAACTGAAATTCAGTTCATTTTTAGAAAGGAGTCTCCCTTTGAACATTTGCTGTAATGAAGTCCTACTCCCAAAATAAACTTCCATTTCATTCACTAGTGTGCTTTCTGTGAAGGCATTAAGGGAAAAAAAAAAAAAAAAGAACTAAAATGGGTAAGAATGACACCAAGGAGCTATAATTAGGTAAAATTCTTTTACAAAAATAATTGTATGTTATATCAGCAGTTTTATTGCCATGGAAATGAACACAAAGCTAAATTTTTGAATATTTTTATATGCAGAAAAGTATGTATAAGGGAGGTCTTACTTCCCTTTTTCCCCCCACCATGAACAGCAGAACATACTAAAAGTTAATCTTTTTACAACTGATCTTGATTTCTTTGCACAGTTCTGATGAATTCAATCAAAGAGAGATTATTTGCTGTTCAGTGCTAGAGCTACAGTCCAACACCACATGTAAAAAGCACCCTGTCTAGAACATGACAGACATAATTTATAATGGAATTTTATTGCAAAGCTAATGTCATCTGAAAGAAAATATGGCAAGACAGAGACTAAAAAAGTGAAACATTTTTGATGCAAGTTTTATACCTAACTCCTGTGAGAATATAAGAAAAATCTTTGTGTGGGAAGTACTGACTTCAGCTAGAAGAGCTAAGCAATAAAGCTGGCACACACATTGCCCATAAAAACTGCAGAAGCTTGGTCTATTCCAGTCTACAAAGAGAAAGAGACAGAAAGAATGGTTGTCCACTCATGGATACCTCATGCTCAACCATGCCAGTACCACTTTCCAGTCTCTACTCCCAGCACTGCCCCAGCTCCCACCTGATGTGCTTGGTGATGCTAAGGTCCTTGTCACTCATGTGCTAAACAGATACAAGCCATTTGAACTGCCTATTGAACAGCTTCTGTCTTAAAGCACGTAAAAATCTTTAAGTTTTAAAATTTTATCCTAACAACCACAGGATAGATTTAAGTCTAACCATTTAATTCAGCAAAATAGAGCTCCAGTCAGAAAAACACTGAACAAACTCCAAAATGGTAGCATGGGAGTGGTTCTGCTGAATTCTCTGGATCTACTGATGTAACGAAAATTAAGCAAGAGTTTTTTTGGTCCAGATGCTAGGCAAAATTATTTCATCATGCACTTGATTCTAAGGTTCCAAAGCAAATGCTAATCTCTGTAAAGTAAACACATTTTCATGACAGATTACATTGTCCAACTATTTCATGGTCACACAAAAAATATGACCAAATAGAAGAATGCACCTGCTTATCTATTTACATTGATAACCTCTAAGGAGAAGAGGCTACTCAACCAGCTCAGTGCATATTGTTCACCTGGGCAGCAGATGGACTATGACTTACTAAAACAAATAGTCAGGAAACACATCAGACTCAAAGTCCAAGATGAACCTTCTGATTCTGGTCCAATCTACAGCACTAGAGAACAACAGTGATTAAAAAAAAAAAAAATGTTACCATATGATGCTATTCAGCTACCTGGCAACATATTGTGAACAGGTGTGGCTATGTTAACATCCTGGAGGTGTTTCAGTGTCTCTGTGTGGAACAGTCGAAGAGTAGATCCAGATGTGAAGGCAATCCAGACTCCCACTCCAGCCACAGCCATATGAGAGATCACCATCCCTTCCTCTTGATGGGCTTCAAACTGGTTCTGCAAGAAAAACAGGGGCTCTGTGGGGAGATGCAAGTCAAGGATATCAGTCAACCTTTCTTACCAGCCTTTCAGTGTAGGCACTGTATCTTCATCCTCTTCGACAAGGACAAAGCTTCCTCTGCCTTGCTTAGGATATGTTCTAATAGCTGCATATGATGTGTTAATTTCCCTAGAACTTTTTTGGGAAATATATCATCATCAGTATGGAAAGATTCTCAGCTTTTGATACAAGGTTCCACCTAATGACAGAATAACTCAGATTTTCCCTTTTTTAAAAATTTTGTATGATAGGAGCTGGCAAGCCCAAAACAATTCAGACTTAAAAGGATTTTGTATTTCTTTATACTCCTTTGGGAAAACTACCACAGCTGTACTTTCATCTACAGCAGAACTTCTATTTCAACAATAAAAAAAATAGTTTGTTCTGACAGGGGGTCTTTTCATAACAAGAATAATAGAATGTTATAAAAAGTCATACTTAGAAGGTAGAGTTTTTAAGAATATAAACACACTGTTATTTGCTCAATTACACACGTAACAATGCGAGCCTTAATTCTGCAGTTTTGTTTTTGATGCTTGTTTTCCTGTCCTTCAAAGAATTGATGCTTCTCATTATAGAAGCTAAAATCCTCTTTCTAAATGTAAGTAACACAGCACTTTGAAGATAGACCTTTTTCCTTGATCTAGTGCCAGTTACAGCCTGGTTCCAGGAAGGCAGAAGCCTCTCTCTGTATGTATCTATTAACATGTGAGATAAAGCTGTAGTAAAGTTTCTTAATCATTAACAAGGAGGGATTTTTTTCCTCTCAGTTTTGTCTTGTAAGAAGACTGTCTCTGAGGCTGAACACAGTCTTTGATTGTTGTGCCAGCTATTATCAGAAAGCCAGTATGATAAACACAAAACTTACTTAGCTAAATAAATGGCAAACTGTTCCTTGGATAAAAATCTCTCACTGAGGGGTATGGAAGTAATAAGTGCTCTAATATTCACTTAATGTATTATATACTCTTTATGACATTTGCAGACAAAATGCAGAAGTATCTCCTACTTCCTTGTAGTGAAATACACTTAAATTTTCTAGGCATTACAATTAAGAGTTACATTTTGGTATTTTTTTTTTCATTAACATCTAAATATAATAGGGTTATAGATATATTTTCCAAATTTTCCATCAAAATACAACTAACAGGCTAAGATCAGAGACAAAGAATAAAAAGGTAGAATTTCACAAAGCATAACTTTCGTTATTATGTGTTTTTCTTTTCATACTTTATTACTGCATAAATTATGATTTTCACAGAGAAATTTGTTGCTTAAAGAGAATGGGAATTATCTTTTGTGTGTTTCATTTGTTAACATTATTCTTCAAATGTTTGTTTTTTTAGTAAATGAACAGAATTTTCTCTTCAGCTGTGAGGCAGTGGTTCAGTTCTTGAGTGTTATGGTATTACCTTTTGATTCTTTGAATAATAACACTGCAGAATGTAAGATAAGCAACTCTGGCAGGCACATTCATATTCGGTTTTCCTGAAGTAACCACTATTCATTTGTTATCAAATGATATGCACAATTTCAAAATCATAAAATTCATTCAACAGAAGAATTTATCTGTAAAAAACATCTTCCAATGTCAGAAGCAGCCCTTATGACTAGATTTGCTGATATTCTCATCATCCATGTTCCATTGCAAAAAATATTCTAAAATATTTTCTTTGTTTATAGACTCATACATCCCTACACTAGTGACTAATTGCCTTTTGAGAACTTCTAGGGGATAAATCCATAGCAGCTGAAGCAAACCTGACCAGCAACTTTCACTCTTTGAAATTAGAAGGAAAATGAAGAAGAGCATAAAAAAAGAATTTTCTCTGGAGAGATCCGACCACAGCTGACTACTATGTTGGTGCCACTGAAAACAACTTACACATGCATTTTTGTCACATTCCATTTTAACCAGCCAACTCATTATACTCCCACTTAAGTCTGTCCTGCCATTTGTACAGCTGTGTGCTGGAACACACAGACCCATTTGAAGTTAAACTGTATATTGCAAACACGACAAGACCTGTAGAAAGAACTATTCTTCTCATTGAAAGGGTTTCTAACCTGGAGCAAGAACACACTCCAAAACTTCACCTTCTTATGCATAAATTTTCATATAAAGGACAGCTTTGACATCTGTTTCAATTACATGTCTACGTGAAAACCAGTGAGCTGGCCTTTTACTTCTATTTTTCTTTTCTTTTTATAACAAGAAACACAGATAGAAAGGAACAAAGATGTCTTATTCCATTTGTCATCAAAATAATTGAACTTCATTTTCTTTTTCTCTTTTAGTTTTCATACCTACATTCCTGTCTGTTCAAAGCCTGGATTTTCCCCCCTCAGGCTCTGCCATTCTATCTACAGCAGCACAGAAGCTGCAGAAGGCATTGTGGATGCCAGAGCCCAGTGCAGCTCACCAGTGTTCCAGCAGTGTGAGACACAGCAGAGCCCTTCTTTTGAGGGAGTGCTCATTTACACCAGATAGCTGCACCAAGAGATGAAGCACGATTTCTCCAGGTTCAGGGGAAGAAGATAATGAGGGTCATTACCCCCAACGTCAAACAAATGTCTTTCACTGCCTTAAAGAAGTTACAATACTTGGGTAACACACACTCATTCATGTATAGGGATTTCCATCTGTTTTGGTTACTCAGCTGAAGACTTCAGTGTAACTCCTGTATAGTTAGCAAAGTTTTAAAAACAAGACAAAACAGACTAGGAAAGAATGACACTCAACTGGTAACTTTATTAAATACTCTGGCACTTTTTGAGGTTTTTGAATAAAGGCAAACTGCCTTTTCAGAGTACAAGATGCTCCAGCCACAGAGACCATTATGGGGTGTAGGTCTGTACCCAACAGCAATACAGCTGTCAGATCTAGGGTCATTACTAAGTGACAAATTTCTTCACAGAAAGCGTATCAGAGTATGTAATTAATATGTAACAGCAATTGGTGCATTTCTCACCTGTGCCCTGCCAAGGATCTTGAGGCATTTTGCCATTTTGGGGTATTGTGCCAATAAAAGACATTACCTAAAACATTTTGTTACAGTAACGTATCATTAGAACAAATGAATTGAGAATCTTACACATATCGGAGTGGGTGGGGGAAAGCAGACATGAGTAATATCCAAATCCAATACACACAATAACAAACATGCTTGTTTACTAAAAATTATTAAATAAAGAAAAGATCTTAAATAAAAACCTTAGCAAAGCAAGGAAGAATGGAATGAGATTGTCTTCAAGGATAACATACTCTGCACTTAGCTAATGCACAGATAGTTAAATACGAGATACCTGTGAAGCAAAGAGTGCCTTATAAGGACAAGTTTACAAAATAGTTTTGAATATGCTCATGGGCTTGCACAAATTTTGCCTTAAAACCTTGTCAGATGACTTTACAGGTAATGTACATGATGCAGGGTACACAGTATTTATGCATGGCAATAGCAGTGAACTAGCAAGCAGCTGCATGGCAGTATAAATGGAGTATCTCCACATAAAGTATATGGAGATATGAAGGTGCTCAGTAAAGAGGGAAGAGTAACAGGTGAGCCCTGTATGACACCTGGTTTCTTGCTGCTAGAGCAAAGACTAAGTTTATACAGAAGATCTTGAGTCAAATCTTTACTACTAACTCTCAGCAAGAGAGAGCAGAGGGAGAACAAACTTTTCCTTGCTGCTGCTTCCTCTTGTACAACAAAGCTTCTGCTCTTCACCATAAGGAAGAGGCAGCTCAGATGTTAAAACATTTGACATTGACAGAGTTTAAATTGCCCATGCACCATGTAATACTGAAACAATATTGCCAGTGGACATGGTAAGGACAACAGAGCAGATCACTTTTGGAAACATAAATCTAGGAAGTTATCAAAACAAGTCAGGTCACTGAGTAGGCAGCAACACTGAAAACATTAGGGACCTGTTTAGCTAGGTGAGATGAAGAGAAAAAGACCAGTATGTCTTAATACCCATAATGAAGCAACAGAAAATCATTGCTTGTTCACAATTCTATGAGGAAGATGACATGCTATGCCATGGGTATTTGTATGAAATAAAAAAGATGACCCTCAGCCAGATGTACAGAAAATTGTGGACATGATTTTCTGAGCCTGAAAGTGTTTTCAGCCGGTCAGTGGCTGATCTGTTTCCCAAGGGAAAGTCTTTTTGGAAACTTTTCTCTCTCTCTCTGTTTTGTAAATAGGCTTTTGGTTCACAAAACAGTGGTGTACAGGTGTTCTGAATGTGTTTTCTCCTGTTCCACCAATGGGACAAGAGAGGTGTTGTTCCCTTTACCAATCATGTTAAACCTGTATCGGAACACCTTACAAAGGGGCTGAAAACCCCGAAATAAAGGCTTCTGCCTTCTTCGGATCAAAAACCTTGGCTGTTGTGATTGAATCCATGCTTCTATTTCGTGTCCACTAGTGACAGAAAATCATGATGTTCATGAACAAAATTATTTATATTGAAAAAACACTACTTAACCCATACACACCATTTCTTATGGTGCTTGCTGCAGCACTTACTGTGTGTACAATGAACGTATTATAACCTGAGCTCTGACTACAACTACATCAACTACAGATGGTTTAGTTGAGAAATGAGAAGAAACCTCCTGTGATGCTTTTATAGGAAAATCTGTAGTAACAGCTGAAAAGTGAAACCGCCATGTCTGAGAGATATTGCTAGAGTACTTGTTATTTTATCTCTCCAAACTTTTGTTTTCAACACTGCAGTCTATGACATTTTATGTAAGAGTGAAGAGTAATATTTAAACATTCTTTAATCCTCAAAGCTTGTTTAACTCTGAGTTTGTTCTCCTCTGCCAAAACAGCCTAGCATAGTCCAAACTGCAGCCATATCACCTGATTTAGGGAGAACATTGTTACAGAATTAGGCCAGAATTGACAAGCTTATTTACAGAGATCTGGCTGTGAGTATCCAGCCTCACACAAGAACAACCTGGCTCTGATTTCTTACCGTTTTCCTAGTGACAATCTAAGGGATTTTACCAAAATCTGTAGAACAGCAACCACGGAACTAGCAAAAGTCCATTTCAAGCACCTATCCAAATCACTCATCCAAAATCTTTCTCTAAATGTACCATTCAAACTACCAACAAAACAAGCCTTGAAGAAAAGTGAAGTAGAAGAAACTATGTTCCAAGCATCTTATTAGATGAAACAAATCACTCAGAAAACACAGAAAAAGACAGAGGAAATTAGGATGTTAGCTATTTCCCCGCAAACCCATGACAGTGACTCACAGAATCAATTGTACCAAATGGACAATTGTTGGGAGAAAACACTATCATCAAAGGAAAAAAATGCAGCAACAATGCACACAAAGAAGGAGGCTGTGAGCTCATCATGACTCCTGTTTGAAAAAACTTCATGGCTGTAAACATGCAATTCAGTGATACTCTATTGTAGGTTGAATGAGAGGTTGAACTACTAATGTTTCATCAGCTCTTGGGACTACTAGGATGTTCTTTTGGTGAAAGCTATAATTTTGACAGAAATAAGGGATTAACATTTTCTGGAAAATGTCACAAATGTGAATTTGAACCCTTAACACTCTTCTCTCATTCTGACAAAGCCAGCTTTTGTGTGACTATTCATCAGAAACTGCTCTTATGCAAATAAAATTTTTGTAGGTCACCGAGAAGAAAAAATCTGAAAAAATATATTATGACATTATCACAAGGTGCAAGTAATATCTAAGTATATAGAGGCAGTCTCTCAGCTAAACCTTCTGCTGTAAATAACATGAAATTCCTATCGGCACCCACTTCTCTGCTGCCTTACCTCAGATTTCATTTTTAAGAGAATCTTGTGCCCCAAATGCTCCATCATTTCCAAGCACCTTACAGAAACCAGTGGGTAAGTGGGAACAAGGTCTAATGAGACATCAGCAGAGAACACAACAGCAGAATTACAAACTAAAGGAGTGAGATTTAAAAGAACTAAGACCACATTCAATAAAAAGCTTCATGAATCATGATGCTTCTTAAATGGATTTTCATCTTCAAAATTTCACTGCTTATACCCTGCAGTGTAATAGGTGAGCAATGCTTTTAAAAGTGTTTACCTCTATGGAATGCGTCACAGTGCTGATTATAAAAATTTGTCCACCACATGCAGCCCAAATGGTCTCCTCCATCACAAGCAGACTTCTAACAGGCAGAACCCCCAATTTAACTATCTTCTGAGGTTCCGTGTTCCATGTCCCATCTTCAATAAAAGAAGAAGAAAGGTTATACACAACCAAATGGTGATCTTTGCTTTAAAACAGTTCTGAATTTCTGCTTGAATTTCTGCAAGTTGCCACTTCAAGCTACACTGTGATTTGTTTATGGTTACTTTTAGCTTCCAGGGTACATTTGTAAGGATAAGACAACATTAATGGGAAAATCCAAACATAAGTACTCATGTATCTGTCAACAGAGCAAATTTTATCTAGATTAAATGATAATTCAGGAGTACCACATTGCTGTTCTGTTAAAACTGCTTTCCTCCCCAGAGGAAATACAGTCAGAAACCCTTGTCTGGCAACTGTGTCCAACACAGAAGGAGCTCACAACCAACTTACTTCAAGATGAATCAATTTCTAACCAGAACAGATACATCTTTCATGTGCAAAGTAGTCAGAAAGATTTTTACTGCAGGCTGTAATGAGTGCAGATCTCTCTCTAAGAGCATTTTGATAGAACTGACCTTCCTGCTACTAGATGCTTCATTTAAGATGGAAAACAAACAAAAACAAACCCCAAAAAAACAAAGCAATAGCTAAAAAAACAGAAAACAAACAAACAAAAAAAACCCCAAAAAATGAACACTTGGTCTTGTGCCATATCTTCACTTTTCTTACTTTTCCCACTAATTATAAAACCCACATTTTTTTCTTTGGACTGCATTTATCAGATCTAAATTAAATTGTGTATGTAGCACAGTCAATTATTCAGAGGGGTTCTGGTAAGAGCAGCATGCTTCCTCCTACTGCTATTGTCACTGTCAATTGCCATCTCTTTGAAACAAGGACTAGCAGATTATTTCTCCCCAAATTTAAGAGCCAGCAACATGAGCTTCTTGAAACAGTTGGAGTTTTACCTTTTATACACACAAATTGACATATTAAGTACAGCAATAATAATTTTAATGTTTTCATATTAGTTAATATATTGTAAGTGCTTGTTTAATACAGTCTCAAAGGTAACATTTCTATCTATACATTACGATTTATTAATAATATACAAATCTGTAACCCAGATTAAAAGTAACTGGGTTTTACACTGAGATAAAATAGTTCAAAAAAAGCACCATTTCTTCATTGAAAAGCCTTCTTCCTGCACAAACTGCAGTAAAGTAGTCTACTTTTCTGACACTGATTTCAACTCAGTAACCACTTGAATTTTGACTTGATGAGAACAAAGTAAACACATCTTTAGGCAAGCACTGAAGTACTATTTTTTTCTTTTCCCTCCTGAAAACAAGTACATCTTCTATTATTTGCTTAAAGAATAGGGGTACAAAATTTCCTGCTTCACCAATTAGAGTGGCAACAACAAAAATGAGAAGCATCAGTTCTGGAGTACTTCTCCAAATTTCTGTCATCTGTGTGATACAAACTTCGCTGAGTCATTCTCAGGATGTGGCTCTCTTCTGAAAGCATCTTTGTAGAAGTGACATTTAGTTTCAAGTTGTCAAAATAATTTTCATTATTTTAGTTTGCATTGAGAAGAGTGCTTCCAGTTATTAGTCTGCAAACTCTTCCAGCAATGTCAGAGTCACTCTGTTCTCTATGACTCATACGTACTATTAGCAATAAACAAACTTCTGGAGAAGTTTTCATCCTTTAGCAACCACATTACCCACAAATTAAATTCTAAACTGGAGGCTGCCCATACCCTATGATTGCTGTAACCACTGTAGTCAGTGCAAAGCCTTCAGAGAGCGAAGTTGCGTGTCACAATTTTCAATGTGCAAGGGATGCTGACTGCAGAATTTTAACAGCAATCTGTACATAGCACCATTCTTAGGGATAAATCAGCATAATTCTGGTACATTCTTCCTGTCTATTTCGAAGGATAAGGACTGTGAGTTTGGGCAAGGATTGGATATGCTGAGCAAAAAAGCTATCTTTTCTAGTTATATTTTCACACTGAAAAAAACATTAACATAAAACAAAAGTTCATGACAACTATTTTTCTTAAATACATTCAAGCTATACATTAATTTATATATAAAGCATAGCTGATACTGAAAGAACAGGAAAATAAGGATTTTGAGAATCTCAACTGTGGACTCATTTGCATTTTGTTTAAATTAAATTTCAAACATCTAATGTGTTTCTTTTTTTTTTATATCTGGAACTCTATGCCCTGAAGTTCCATGTAATTCCTCAGATGACTAAGCATTAAGCCTTATTAACAATTTTGATCAATGTAAGAAAGTGATTTCAATACTATCAATGTTATAAATACCAACTGAGTCATGAATATCCGATTCAACATATATGCCTAAAAAATCTCAGTTCTCACAAAACCCTTTTCTGTTGGTGTATGTGTTAACACAGTACTTGACAATCCAGTTTAAGAGTTCCATAGGATTGGACAAACGAAGCAGGTGAGATAGAAGCCTCATGTCTTTCATGCTACCAACAATTCATGAAACAAATCCCTGTAATCCCACTTGATGTATCAGCCCAGCAAACATCCAAAGCTATCACTCTACCCCTATGACCCTATAGTTATGTGATAAGGCTATTCTCTGGTGCATTTTTAGTTCTTCCTGCAAACATTGCTGTCTTCCAGATCAGATAGCATCTGAGACAGATGAGGGGAAAAAAGTGTAGGCGGACACTCTCTGGTCTAGTAATTAGAGCAGTATTCAAAGGATGTGTCAACTGTGTTCTGGACCCTGCCTCAGTGAATGACTAATTAACTATACAAAGTGGAATGGCACCAAGAGGACAAATTAAGCCCTATGCATCTCTCTCCTCTCATTTTGTGGCAGCCAGGAAGATCTCTTGAGAGTGGAAAGCATGGGTAAAAATCCACTAAAGCAAGGCGAGGGATTAAGCCTGATAATCCAACATACTTCTGTAAATGCTTTAACCACAGGCTGCTGGCTAAAAGTAAGACCACAACTTCAGTTTGCTGACCAAGAATTTTATCACCCATCTCTAAAATTACTTAACAAGTCTGTGTCTAGCTCACAAGTGGTTTAAGACTATCAAAATCACACTTTGAAGAAAACATAATACTCTCCCTGCCTCTCTCTCCAGATCTCAGCAGACCCTGTTCAATACCTGCCTGCACAGACTTCTCATTTGACACTGGCTGTTTCATGTTATCTGTCTGATCCAATGTCCATGGCTTTTAAAATCTAAGAGAAAAGAGGCATTATCTCTATCTATCCCACTTTTGTAAACACCTGCAGATTCAAGACATGCTTATGTAAGTAGTTTCAACAACTGGCACTATCCAGGTACTTAAAATTAGTCACAGCACTTGCAAAAAAGATAAGGAACAGCTTTGTTTGATGCTATAAAATCCTTTGCTAGTTACTGACTAAAGTTTATTTTTTCCTGGCAAAAGAGGAAAGAAGCAAGAAACAGAAGCCAAGATAAAACTTTTGCCAACAGCGTCTCAAGGAATACTACATGGATTGCAGGTACAGCTGTTTGCAGGAAAGACATGTGTCTACAAAATCTAAGAACAGGGCCAAAGACAGAAATTAATCCAGGGGTTTCTGGAAATTAGATGTCATATATTTATGTTGTATATATGATGTCTGATATTTGCATATTAAATAAGTATTTTAAAAAACCAGAAGAGAGATTTTATACTAATAGATCTGTGTCATGTCACTGTGTTATGCCACTATTTTTAATACTCTTTGTAAGTTACATGTCATAGTTTATACACCAGTATTGAACAGCATCTTGCAATGCATATATCAGACTGTTTAGCTGCATCAAAGGAAGGTCTCTCATGCTCATAAAATATTTCTAATAATTTCTATAATATTTTAATGCAAATGGAAATTATTTCCATTAGTGCATTTTGTTATTAATCTTGTGATTTTTATGAATTTGGAAAATTAGTTATCCTTCTATTTACTCACATTTAATCAGATAGGAAAAGTTTTAAAACAATGTTCATTTTATCTTTCTGTGGTATGTTTCCACAAAACCCAACGAAGGAAAGTAATACTATTTCACAATAATTTACAAGAATAATCTTCCAATTATTAATTTATAAATATTTTAAATATTTAATACTTTTAATAATTGTAATTAGTCGGTACACTGAGCTCTTCATGTGAGATAATCTATTAACATGTAGTTTTATTTCAGAATGGTTAATTAGTGCAGTGGAGCACAAACATTTTTTCCATCACATGGTACATAAACCAGCACTGTGGAGGAGTAAAATGGTACCTGCATAAGTCAAAAGTTTAGCACACTCCCTATCACTTGAAAATAAGATGAGACACTCAGGCCTGCTCTTCTAAACAATGTGTAACTAGGAATTAGTTTTAGGAATTAGAATATTGTGCATGCATACTCATTTTTTCTTCCACATGCATCAAATTCTTCAAGTGAAACAGCTGACAGAGTTCTTCCTGAAATTATACAGGGGTGGTACTGGAGGACCCAGCATGAAATATACAAATAAGACTGAAAGCAATGTCAACATATTTCTGGTAATGAGTATTATGTGACACTGCAAAGACAACAGTATTTTATCTCTGTTTCAGTATCACTGCTCTAGTCCTGTCCCTAACAGTTTAATACCACTGTTAAGTTTTCACAACATCTACTTGAAGTGGCAGTCACATGCACATGCCAGAAATCCACTCTTCAGACAAGCTAGAGCAGTACATGGATCCACTCAAGCTCTGACTTCAACATCAGCGTTTTACATTCCACATACTCTTCTTTCCTCCATTTGTCTGTCAGAGGACAAGAATGTTGTACCAAATCCATCAAGGTACTTCACCAGTGAACTGACTTGCTACTCCTTCACTGTTGTAACTGTCTCCCCTTAGCCTTGTATTTCCTTTCAGTTTTTGTCATTTTCCTTTATATTAATCCTCTGAAAATGCTCACTTGATTATTGCTACAAAGGCCTCCTTAGACAGGTAAGTCATCAGAACTTCGACCAACTTCAGAGTTCCCTAAGTTCTTACCAGTGAAGTCTCTTCTGTTCTGTGCATGGCCAAAATTGCCTCAGCTATTATTTCACCTGACCAAACTCTTACTGAAATACTAAAATATTAATTCTTCTACTTTCTGCCACAATAATTCTGAATTTTTATTTTCTTTTTCCTGTTTCTCTCCTGTACTCTTTACAGGACTTTATGAAAGGGAAATGCATATCAATGTCTAGAAGAAAGGAAGTAGCTGGAACTGACTACAGTATATCAGGAACAGTACACCTATATTATATAAAGATTGCGATTTCCCTTTCCCAAGATACTTTTGTGAATGGAAGTCAAACACGCGCTGACCTTTTTAGCTATTACATCACTCAGAACACACATCTGCTGGGCTGTCTGCAACCATCACAAAGGGGTTTTGTTGTTTTTTAAACAAAGACAATAGAACACACTTTTTCCTTAACCTCTTCTAAGTATGTTTTGCATGGAAATATTAACTCAGCCTGAGGCAAACACCAAATGAAGAATTTTTCAGACTGATAACCGTGCAAAAGTTCATAGACCTGTAAAGTAAGTCCTCCCCAAACAGTGTCAGAAATTCTGCAATCTGCATCATTCCCATTCCTATACAGAACAGCACTTAATTCACTAGCTGTCTCACAGTTCCCAAAACAAGTCTTCTCACTCACATAAAATTAAGAATTAGTGAGGATAATTATCAGGGTACTATTTTTAAAATTAACATATTAGCTGGCCTGCACCCTAGTGTTCTGTGATGTTTTCACAAATCACCATGTTAGCTCACATTTAAGAGCCAAGTAGATTTTACAGTACCAGCACCTCAAGACTTTGCTTTTAGTTTATGTTCAAATACATCACAGTAGATATTTTCAAGTACTTAACAAGACATAAAGTACCAAAAAGTACTCAAGTACTTTTTACCTCATATGTGAAAATACATGGAAACAGAGGTGTCTCACTAAAATATGACTACTTTCCAGAAAGAGAGTTGTGCACCTCCTACTATCCCACTAACATGGCAGTTGCTCCTTGGTTTACTGTAAGACGTCTGTTTCCATTTTTTACTACTTCAAGACAAGACTTTCTGCAGGAAGAGAGCGCTCTGGATGCTGTGGATTTGACAAAGTTCTCTAGCGAAGAAAGTCAGAAGAAAGCACTTGCTGTTTATAAACAAACATAATGGATATTTATATGCACTGACTCCTCTGAGAACAACTGGAGAAATTAGAGCTATTTGGGTCCTGAAAACCAAATGAAACAAGTTATGGGTCTCTGACTACATAGAGTAAGGCATCTAAATTCAGTGAGTGAACTGATCCACACAGTTTCTGCCCACGGAGGAAGACAAAAGGACCCCAGCTCTGTCACAGACTGTCAGATAAATTTTGATCCTAGAAGAAAGATTATACTTTCTCATTCATGGAATCCTGTAACAGGCTGAACAAACATTTTTCCTGTGCATCTCACAGCATTTGTCCTTCTCAGGCTTCAAATCGAGATGTAATGCAGTGATATATTTCACATTCACTTTTAAAACTTTACTTAATCTCCTTTATAATGACAGACCAAAACCCAAGCTGAAGTACATGGCTGAAAAGTAACCCCCTCTGCAGAATAGAAGGCAACCCTGATGAATTGCACAAAGCTCCTCAGAGGTTGCATTCCCCCTCCCTCCCATTTCACTTGGATTCCTTTGTTTGGTAAATAGGTCAGTGCTCATAAAAACACCCCTTCAGGGCGTACTGCCTCACATAACCACAGCAGCCAACTATAAGGAAGACAGACACTAACATGGCAGCAGCTGAATCACACAATTTCCATGGGGCATGGAGAACTGAAATAAGCTACACTGACCAAGCAGTAAGGAGAGGAACCACAAGATAAACTGACAAGAGTCAGAAAAATATCATTATTTCCCATCTCAAAGTTCCAGTGATCATGACTCAGACTTTGACAGGCTTTATGAACATCTCACTGCCCAAAACCAGTGTCTTCAGAAGAAGACAAACAGGGGATGCTAAGATCCTGGTCAATGCAACAGCCTCCCTCTCATAACCAGACTGTAACGCAGTCTGGTTAACAGCTCTGCCCCATCTTTACCATTCTCTGTAGATATGCAACCCATGAATCCTTTCTTCACTATACTGCCAAGGATGTCAGCTGTGTTTTTGAAGTGATCTTTCCTGGAAGAAGTTGAGTGATAGTAACTGTATTCTTAAAATAGCTTAAATTCACCAACGCCATTCAGAGAAGATGACAGGTTCACTTTAATGCCCCTCCCAGGTATGTAGAGAAATTGAAATACCAAAAATATTATGAATCTAGGATTTAGACCTCACTCCTGAGCCTCAAAAGCAAAAAAAAGCAAAAAAAAAAAAGCTATTAAAATAAAATAAAATAAAAAATGCTATGTGGTTAAAAAAAAAAAGTTTTAAAGGGAACTGAAACGTAATGTCTGGCTTTGGATCAGAGACAGCAGCTCAACAGGAAACCTACTAGGCTGAAGACAACAACTGGACAAAGGAAGTCTCTTTCCCAACACTTTTTCCCAAATCCTTTGTTGCTTGTGGGAAAAAAAAAAAAAAAAAAAAAAAAAAAAAAAAAAAAAAAAAAAGCAAGCATCCTGTACCTTTCCCAAACAAAATTTTTATATGACCTAACAGTGAACATATAATTTGTTCCAAGATTACAGATACTGAGTTTGGTTCCTCAGTTACAGACTGGTAGGATTTAGTAGCCAAGGTACAGTGCCACACAAATGCAGCTGAACTGTTCACAGGGAACATCCTCACTAGAGAAGCATGACAACCATCTTTACTACAGCTCACACAAATAAGGCAGATCTCTCCTTACTCTGTACTTTGCAAGGTTAGGAGTCTCTGTGGTAACGTTTCACTTAAAACATTAAGGTTTCAAATCTTGAGCAAAGCCTCACTGATTTTCACTGAATAGATATATATGCCATACTGCAGGAAAGTTAGTGAGATGTACTGGAAGCATCTGAACCACCTCTGGAAAAGACACTTGTGGTTCAGAAGAATTGCCTAGGATTCTCCTTTATTCAAATTATTTTAGCCAATTATTTAGCTAGATACAAAACAACCAACTGTAATGTTAATAGAGAAAGGAGGCCTGCCATGAAATACATGAACTGCACACATAGGAAAGACTTATCCCATCTGTACAGTAAAAATGGGGTTGTCATTTAAAATAAGATATACAGAAATCTCTACCAGTAGGAGATTTCTGTTTCATAAACACCAATACCAGGTAGTTGAGAGAAATAAGCACTGTGCTGTGTAAAATACTGTGTACTGCTGTTAGCACATAAACTTCTGGACTCTCGCAACACTGAAGACTTTAGGGTTTAAGCAAAGGTAGAAAATCAATTGTCATATGCATGTATGTTGAAATTGGGAAGAGTACCAAAGTTCCTACTATCCTTCAAAAACAGACAAGTCTCTTCAGACATACCTGAAAGAGTCATAATCCTAGTTCAGCAGTTTTACAAAGAATTTCCAGAAAATATATTAGTGGAAAATTACTTCTGCCAAAATACACTGACATGTGAGTTCCTCAGGATGCCATCAAATCATATCACTATGCAGCATTACCTTCTGCTTTTGTGTAGATTGAGATGTTTCCATTTACCAAGCCAGCAAACAAGTATTGAGACCTATACGTTAAGCTCATAACAGTTGATTTTTCAGGAGTGAAGAAGTGTTGAAGTCGAATTTTCTTTGAGCCTTGACAACTTTTGTAAATAGAAATGCTGTAGAAAGAAGCAAGAAAAAATAGACCTGTGAAATTAAGCTTTACATAGTTCTTGTTAGAATATGCAAGAGAGGTTTAGAATAAAATACTGGGGGAAAGAGGATTTTCTTCTTCAATTCTTGACACCCCAGAATGTCTGTGTAGACAACTTGCAATTACTTAACACTGACATATGACAACACATTCATATTATCTTGTCTGCAGAAACTTATTCAAAAAAGAGGCATAGTAACAATTCTGTTCAAAGCCCTTATTATAAGCCTATCTAAAACTTTTATTAGTTAAAAAAAATAAATTTATATTACGTGGAGAACTAGGGAAAAGAAAAAAAACTCACAACCAGATGTCACTTACACTTAAAATTTCCATAATTCCTACTGATTGTTACAATGGATATGCTAAGAATATTGCTAAGGCTGGAATTAAATCACTGGTTTCTAGAAATGGTCAGTAGGCCGTCGGTCCAAAGAGAGAAAAGTAATTCATGTCAATAGTAAACAGCAATATTATTTTTTCACATGACAAATCCTGCATAATATGGCACGGCAGAAGATTAATGGATTCCTCTTTGCCATTCTGAAAATTTTCCAATACCTGAAGATTATGTTGCAAATTTACAAAAGTAGTAATTATATTTTCAGATATTATGAACTAATCCTTTTTCATCAAAAAGATGCCCTGCTTTAATTTCAAATATCACATGGTGTAATTTTAAATAACATAGAGTGCATTTTATCCCTGATTTAAGTGGAAACAATACCTTGAGGTCACTGAGATAACATTTGGATACTTTTTTAAAAAGTAAACATTTTCTTAGAAGTATCTCACACAATTTTTCTATAGTATAGCAAACTTAATCAATAAATTATACACATTACACCAAAAGCAAGAATCACCTTCCTTCTTCCATGCCAAGGCAAATAGTAGGCACATTAGAAGTTTTTGCAAGAACATTTTCAGAGTCTGGAGCCTTGTTTTGCTCTTTCAGCTTCTCCTCCTCTGGTATGTAGACCATGCAGAGAATCCGGGATTCCACATTGAAGCACTCAATAACCTTGGGGCTGGAGCTTTGAAATGAAACTATTGCAATCTGACCCATCTGATTAGTACAACTTCCAATCTGAAATGAAAAAAGGAAAATAAATTAAAAAAATAACAGGCCATAACTGATACCTGTCTCCAGGAAGATCAGCATGTGAAAGAATGACTGGAATGTTAACTGAAGAATGCATCTCAAGTTATATGTGTGAATATGAATTTTCATGCATTAAGACATAAGAGAATAATTCAGCACAAATACAAGATATGTTAAAACATTATACATACAAACTTGCCTTCTATGCTCACAAAAATTTATGTTCTTAAAGCATAAATAATTTTATGGCCTATTCTGATATCTGATTCAAATGTATATACATTACATAATGCAATTACTCTAAGTATCTGTGAAACATTGTTATTTTAATAACTAGTGGTCTAAATTGTCTCAGGTTCTTTTAAAACAGGTAATATAGCTGAGGCCTGTCCTTTGCACAGTAACAGGTCTACAAAGAAATGCTCTGTCCCAGAAGAAAGAGTCTGGAAAACTTGCTGATGCAGAAAGCTAAATTCTTCCCTGATCCAGAACTAAGCATCATCAACATGTCCATAAACTTGTACATTTTAGGGATCAGAGAGAAGTCAAACAGAAAAGAAAAAGCCAGCCAGGCACAGCACATGTTTTTGTATAGTAACATAGTAACTCTTTCTGTTTATATGAAATAAAATAGGAAAGAAAAGAGTATTTTGTAGCAATAGAAAGATTTAATTTGCATGTTTTTGCAATGATTATTCAAAAATGGCAAAGACAAAAAGAAATTATATGGATTGCCTTGAAAAAGACCACTAAGAAAAGTTGTTTCTAACTTTTAATTTGAAAAGATTCCCTTAAAATTTCAGTATTCTAGTAACTAGAAAAGCTCCTGAAAACATTAGCTTGCCTTTTTTTTGACAACAGCTTCTAGCCACCTTATTTTTTCTGCTGGAATATCTGCATACCTGGGGTCATAGCAACATACAGAGGAAGCTGTTTTCCTGTGCAGATTTAAAAATATTATTTTTGGCTAAAATATTCTTAAAATACAAAAACAGACGGTAGGACTGTGTGTGACTGAGTGTAAGCTCATATGGGTTTTAGCAGCAATTGTTACAAATTAGCACATAACTCCCTTCTGAATGTGCTCAGCCCTTTGGAATTCATTCTGTGCTGCACAAATCACATACGCTTAACTGACACCCTGCAGAGACTGGCAAGATCATGAGGACAAATTAGTAGCTAACCCTTTATTTTTAAACAAATAAACAAAGACAACCCAACATTTCTTTCATATCTACACATGGCCAAGAGTCACAAAAAGCAATGGAAAAAAACAGGACACAACCACTTTCAGATTTTAAAGATTACACTTACCCAAAGAAAACCATGTTCCACAGCACAGGAATCTGACTCTGTTTCTCCAGCAAGGTATGGTTCAGGATTATAAGCAGCACATTCAATCTTCAAAAAAAGGAAAAGAGAGTTGTTAGCACATTAAGAAAATATGCCTGTTTCTGTTTATTTTAGTTTGTAATTAACAAAAGCATTTAAGGCTATCAAAGAATCTCATGAGGCAAGGAGTCAGTTCAGTTCACCCAGCTTCCCATGGGCAGGGTCAGCTGCACAGATATTGTTCCTGATACATTCCTTATCTATCCCTACAGACTTTCAAGGCCAAAGACTACAAATTCTATTTTGGTGATCTGCTCAAGTGCTTCATAACTTTTATTAAGTTTTTATATGTCCCCAGCCTGACACTATCCCTGATGTAATCATTAGCCTGTTACCTCTTATCTCAGACATCAGGTACTTCTCTTTCTCTGCAGTTTCCTTTTACATGTAAGGCTGATATATGTCATGACCCTGCCTGAGACACCTCTTCATTAGGCTAAATCAACATTATCACTTAATTACATATAATTTTTTTAAACAATTGCCTTTTCAAATTTTTGTGCTCAAACTTATTATTGTCACTTTTTCAACTGACACCTCTCCAGCAGATGTATCACCCTGATGTGTATATTTGAGAGCAGCTTTCTCAGCTGAACACACCATTCTAGCAGAGCTGGTAGCAGCACTACATCATGGTCACCTCTTCAGAAGCCTGTTTCTACACATCTCATTCATTACTGCTCTTTGTAACAATATTACATTCCTAACCAATCCTTACCTTGCTGGTCTATTAAAAATTACTGTAACAGACCAACTAAACCACCTCTTCAGTCTGGATTTATGAAACTCCTAAATTCTCCTGGAGCATACCATGTGTCTGTCCTGCTGACTGTCATCCTTTTGATTTTTCTTTCCCCCCGCAAATTATTTCTCCAGGTGCCTTAGTCATTTTGAATGCTAATACCATCATTCTTCAGACTTCTACTCCCTTCCAATCTCATGTCATCATGTTACTGTCAGTAAATTAATAACAATACTCATGATTTTATCATGCAGACCATTTAAAAAAATAATGGAAAGCAACACCAGACTCAAGGTCTATATTTAAGTCTATCCCATATCCGAAGATCATTCATGAAAAAAACATTTTTATGACCAGTCATGGATTTCTAATTTTCCTAAAATCCATGGCAGTTTCCTAATGCTCATGTAAACACTTCAAAAAATATAAGAACAATTCATAACTGTGTAGAGAATAAAAAGGCTTCTAATGAGGTGTGATACTACTTTTTACACAAGATTCTCTATAATTCAGACTAATGTTTTCATCTTGGACATCAATGTGCTTGTGATTATATTGTAGTGCTAGAGACAACTCAGTATTAACTTAGACTACTTAGTTAGCATTAACTCCCCATAGTCTGCCAACATCAACTTCCAACAATGAGCAATTAAAAAAAACCCCACAAAAAACATAAAAACCAAAAACAAAACAAGTCAGCAAAAGTTAAAGAGTTCTAAAGTCCAAGTTTACTTAATTTTCCAAAGTGCAAAGAATTTTACAAATCTCCTTGAAGTCAGCAGGCATTAAAAAGTGATCTGCCTTAGTAGAAAAAACATTATTTATTCGGCAAAGCAACTTACTATATACACATAAAAAATTGAAATCAACAGATGAGAAAAAAAGAGAAAAAAAAAAGAGCTATCCTGTCTTAGCATGTCTCATTTAACATATGCTGAAGCTATCTATTTATGGTGATTTACAGTAGCTGTGACAATGAAATATATCACTAGTGAAAAATAAGACAGTCTGCATGTTGGATATTTCCCAGGCTCCTTGTTACACCTCTGTGTCACTTTGCATCTTAGTCAAAAGTGATGTTTTTTTCCATAGTTAAACCCTGGTTGTTTAGTTCTCAGTCCTGACAGAAGCCCAGGTGCTGGGTTTAAGCAAGATAAGCACCCTGATCAGCTCCAGCACAGGCGGCTAGCCCAGCCACGCGGACCATACCCCACAGCATCAATGTGATGGATGGAAAATATGGTGATTTATTACAGGGAAACTTAACATTTTATAGCCTAGGTTCACTGTGTTACTCCCATCTACATACGTCACACTTGGGTGCTATTGGCTAATTGCAAGAGAACTTACTATCCTGACAGGGAGGTGGTCTGCTAACTTTCCGTTACATCCCGAATTCTTCCGCAGCGCCAGGCCCTAACTACAACACCCAGGATGCAAACTTGCTCTGATGGCTCCTTACACCACTGGGCAGCCTGAGCAGCACACAGAGAGCCAACAAACAGGATTATCCAAGCCAAGGTTCTCTTCCCACCCTGAGCTGAGACCTGAGAGCCAAACTGCAGCTGAGGCTGCACTAATACTTAAGTAAGATTTTCTAGTAATATCAAGGACTTGGGAGAACAAGGAAATGACACCTGAGCTCACATCCACATTACTTTAGGAGCTGCAAAACTGTCAAAATTAGCCCAGGGCTGAGGCAAATACTGTCACACACTCTGCTCTCCTGAGGTGACCAAGGCAAAGATCACCAGCCAGCTGTAAAGGTGACAAACTCCCCTTTCCTTTCCAAATAAGAAGACTCTGATATAATTTGATTTCAAGAATTGAGCCTGGGTGTTCACGGATCTTGGCATGAATTTTCAGGACTTACAAATGCCTAGGCTCTAAGGAAATACATACATAATTTAAGTTTCTGAAAAGAATTAAATTAGCTGGTTATTTCACCAGTGGTGACTTCAGAAAGTAGTAATTACAGAAAAAGCTGTTTAATGATACAAGCATGGCTGGTTCTATGGGAAATCAGAGAGTTTCAGTAAACTTTCGCTGCTCTGGAGACCAGTATCATAGGAATAAATTGTCTTAGCACCATTACACATTTCTACTGCATTTTGAACCACCAATTATTTTCCCCCAACATCCAGGCTTATATACTCACATTTGAAGTGAAGCTGTCAGCTGAGCTTCCCTCCTGTGTAAGCTGTTCTAGCAGGGAGGGCTTGCAGACGCACCTCTTAAAGCAGCACCCGTGCAATGACATTAACTTAACTTTGGGATTCTATCCACACATACACAATTTTATTTCCATCACTCTTTTTGCACAAGACTTACTGACTGATGGTCAATAAGAAATCCTGTTGATACACAGGAAAAATAGCACCCAGCACTCTTCCCTTCCATCTGTTGGCTTGGTACTGTATTTATTTTCATCATTAAAGTCAGTGGTCAATAAGATTTCAAACTGGACACATTGCTTTAAAATTTGAGGAGGATTTACCAAAATTATACCAGGAAAGGACAGCTTTCATGGAGATCAGACTCCTGCTCTTTGTAAGCTTTAGGTTACTTCTAAGCCACAAACACACACATGGAAATCTCAAAATGAACTAAAATTTTCCATTAGCTCTGTTTACACTGAGTGATTCATTCACATATGAAAGTGAATGTTATACTATGTAAAAATAAATGTTATGCTCCTTAGCGCCTCAAAGATTGCAGCATTTTGCATTCCTGTGACTCTTCTTTAATTGCTAATAGTCTTAAACCAGGGTAGCCACTCAAGAGAAGTAACAGATGTGAACTAATAGATGTATTTACAATATGGTATTATTTAGAAATTATATCACAAAAAAAATTATTGTAATCTCATATCAAAACTCCATTCACCTTAAACTCCTGTTGCTTGGCCATCATCACTGGCATGTGTCTAACAAGGAGAGGATGTTTTTCCTTTTTGATTTGATTCCCATCATCTTCTATGCAGAACCAACCTAACAGATTATCCTCCGCTGTAATGGAAAGAACAAACAATAAACACTCCACAATCCTCTACTGAATAATCACTTCCACCTTTCCACAGGAACAGAAAGGAATTCTGTCAAGACTAATCAACTGTCATATTTCTTATGCCATAGATGCATATATGACAGCTTAAAACTGTGAGCAAAAATTGAGTAGATTACGTACATACTGATAATGCAAAAAAAGAACACCTTACATTAGCAAAATTATAAGGATAGTCTCTTAATGTTCTTGTAAATTGAATATTGAAAGAGGAAAAGACACATAAAACCTCTCCTCAGACTCTAGGAAATCTGTTGGTTGAAAAGCATTTTTCTGCCTGTTTATGTAACATCACTACCAACTGCCAGCTATCATAATTATAAGGACCATCCTCCTGGAATGATGGAAACATCCATTCTCTCTTCTTTTTTGTTCCTTTGCTTGTCTTCCGTAAGACATCACAAAAGTGCTCTGTTTTGACCATGTGCTGGTGAAACTTGCTTCCAAGCAAGTGAATGTTTCTCAGCTTAGGCATTGAAAGTCCAAGTATATTTGGAAACCTATTCCCCTGTGCAAACACAGTAGACTAATAACATCACAGGACAGAATATTTTTTATTGTTCTAACTTAGAGATTATTTGTGTTGGTTTAGATGCCACAATTAGTATTGAATACAAGAACTTCATTAAAATACTGTTGAAAATATATTCCTTCATAATGAGTGTTTTATCTATAATGTTATTACTTTGCATTGATACAAAATCACTACTATTTACTGTATTGCAATTTTAAACATCTACAGACAAATTTTCACCAAAAAAGGAAAATCATTCTCCAAAAAGTAAAAATAAATAAATCATACTGTACATTGAGAGCTATTCTAACTTGTTAGGAAATTTGAATAACTAAGAATTACCAAGGGCCAGTTTAGCCATTTGTAAATTGTTGATCCAAGACTGCTTGATAGCAGGTGTAAATGTATTGAACACAGCTGTAAAGAAAGTTGGCCGCCCAGACCTGCAATACAGAAAAAAAGAAAAGAAACCACTATAAATGCAGGAGGTATAAATACAGCCATGGCTAAAAATGTTGAGCAAGATGAAATTTCATTATTTCCTAATACTTAGACAAAGACTCAGCTCTGATTTAAGTGTGCAGGCTATGATATGCCATTTGCCCATCTTCCTATACTTTACATGAAATGTTATGAGGAACTGGTGAAGGAATACAGCAGTGACTGTTCCCTATTAGCTCTCACTGCCACGGCTCCTCTCTTGCTTCTTGCATCCAGAACACTGGGCTGAGGAACAGGAGAAAAGCTACAGTGCTGCTCTGGAACATTAAAGCTCCCAGCATTATGACATAAAAGCAAAAGCCAGGGGATTAACATGAAGACAGAAGGGAGGGAAGAGCTACAGATCCCCAAACCCTCACTTGTACACCTATACCTAATACATAAACCAATTTAGAAAGCTTTGTAATCAAGATTTACACTGACTTGTCCTGTTTTCCTGGGAGTTGCAGCTGAATTCTACAGCGATCTGCTGCTCTGATTTCATCTTCTTTTTTCAAAATCAGTTTTTGTAAACCTGAGGTCCAGTCATGGGCTACAGATTGGTTCAAGTTCTGAAAAATTAAAAAAGCTAAGATTCAATACCAGCCTATCAGCCTGTTGCAAACAGGATAATAAGGTGATTCCTGCATATAACAACGACACATGGGCTTCAATGAGACCACATTTCCATCATGGATAATTTAGCCATGTTTGTAAACACAGTTCAGAAATACCTGTAAAATATTTTCTAACGTATTTCATCTGAACATTTAATCTCACACTGCTCATTTTATGATGCATAAATGGCATTCCCAGGCGTTTGTCAAATAAAAAATGCAAATTTGTATCAGGTGTATGTACAAGCCTTTTACTTTATTCCAGCATCACAAATTCTGTTACTAAAGAGAATCTTTTGAAAACATCTACAGATCATACTGAAAATATGCTTTTGTTCAAATCTTTGAGTCAAAATGTTTACAGAGCCATCATGAAAGATGTGTGGTCTAAATCTGTTTAAGATGCTGAAACAATAACTCACTGCAAGGTGAATGTTCTGTTGCAGAGAGTAAAAGCTCACCTGAATGAAACAAAGCATTGAGACTGATAAGTTCACAAAAATACACACACTTTCTACCATCAGAATTCTATGATAACTTAAGTGTTTCCCAAAAATAAAGAAACTGACCTCATTCCTCAGCTAAATTCTTGTAATGATCTTACACACATCTACCTGAAAAAGACAACTGAATTTCAAGTTTTCTAAGCATAATTGGCTCTGACTGTCAGAGCAGGCAGAAAGGTTTTTTATATGGTGAAGGGTGAATGTCTTACGGTATCTGTGCTACACATATTCCCAATTATGCAGATGAAATTCACCTTCTAATGCTTGTGAAGCTTTGTTCAAAAGCACTGTTTTCATAAGCTTCATTCAAAGTACACATTTTCACAAAATGCTGTTTTATTTTATGCCTTGACTCTGAAGCCAAGATATGTCAAGAGAAACTCAGCTTTCATATATTGATTCATATACACACATTTGCAACCTGTGAAATTCAGCTTTCATATATTCATACATCTATGCATATTTGCAACTTTGCTGGAAGGTAGGAGTTAAAAATTACATGTAAGCACATATAAAATGTATAAAAAATCAAGCAAAAAGGAAACTGAAGTCTCAAGACTTCATTTGGTGTTAAGTACTTTATTTTTTTGCCAGAATATAAGCTAAATCAAAGGGATGTGAACAAAGTTAAAGCAAAATACTTCCAAAATTCTTCTGAAAAATCCTTTTGTATTTTTGTGATTTATACTCAGTTTTAAGTACAGTTTTCCCCCAAAAGCCAGGATTATGAGCTTGGATGGGGACCAAGAACTTCCTCCAAATGACCATCCTCCTACTACCATGTCTAACTGCAGGAATCCAATTTCTTAACATCAAAATGTAATTCTGTTCCCATATAAGCTTATCAGCTATTGAACAAATGCAGACACTTGTAGCATCCACCTACACTTAAAAACAATAAAGAAAAACAAGATTAGGACAGCTGTAATCTTTTTATAATACTTAGCAGTAAATGCATTACTAGGGGTGAAATTTATTCCACTTTTTGCAGAGAGAACTAAGGAATGTCTTGCACAGACTCTAGGGAGAGGTAACTATACTACTTTACAAGAACAGACTTGAAAAATAAATCCAGCTTTGTTTATTACCTGATAGTTTCCTTTAAGGCTGTTTATTAATTGACTAATTTGACCAAGTACATTCAAGTCATGTAAAAGGTTCTGCAGATCATGGTACAGTTGCCCTGGTCCCATATAGAGCTTGTCTGAAATGAATAGAACCATAAGGTTATACACAATAAAAAGATGCAATTCTCAGTTGAACAAAGAAAGTATCACAAAGACATATACTACATCTTAAAATCAGAGTGGCTTATTTCTACATATATCCTCAGAATTTCACTTTGTTGCTCCAGCTGATTCTAATGTCCCTGCAGACAGATAATTGTGAAATGCACCCCAGGAAATAATAGGCAGTAGCATATATCACATACAACCTTTGCACTTACAGACATTACCATTGGCATTTCCTTTTAGATCATCTTATTGCCCTTTTAGCTACAAACAAGATTCAAGTTGTTCATCTAGTATGATGGAGAGCACTATCTACAGTTTTAATATCCCACACCAAATTGTAACAAATACCAAAGCTTCACTGGCCCCAAAATCTCTTGCTGCCATGAAAGTTTTGTTTAGCACCGAACAACAGACTTGCTGAACACATGAATGCAAACATTTTTCCTGAAGGATATTTTTGGTTACATGACAAGCAAAAAAAATTATCTGCAGCTTTTGCTACGATGGTTTAAAATTCAGTATTTGCTTTATTGAAGTGAGACAGTTCTGGGTAATATATCCATATCCTAACTCTAATACGAGCCTGCAATTTCACTGAACCACTTGAAATTTTACTGCAATCATGCTTAAGTCAAAAAAGGATCTGTTCTTAGATCAGCAGCAAATCTGAACAGCAGCAGAAATATTTTATGCTAATAATAAGTACAAGGGCTTATAAGGGAACAGTAACTCAGAAAAACACACTGATTACTAGGATAAGGTGTCCATTTAAGTGCACAAAGCTTGCAAATCCCTACTAATATACTTTGACTACCACGATGCTAGGAGTGGAATGGCTATATAATTCCTTTGGAAATAACACTCACTCTCCCATAAAAAAACCCACACTGACTCATACAGAGTCAGCATGTTTCCCTTTGGCTGAATGACAGGAACAGGACTAGATTATCTTGCCAGCAAACCCCTGCAGATTCTTTAGCTCACACAGTGTAGTTTCCAAACTATGGATCCTTCATCCCTAGCACAGCCTCGGAAGGCAGTCTGTGGGCAGCAAACACCCCTGGATCAGAAGGATTTCAAAGGTGTGTTGGCAAGAACAGGATCTCAATACAGTGCTGGCTACTGTCCCTTCAGACAGCTGAGGAGCACGGACAGGAGCTGTGCCACCTGCTCTGGCTGCAGGGCAGAGGATGCCGGGCACAGCTCAGCTGCCGCACACACCGCTGGCACCTCCGCTCCCCCAGCCTGCTGCAGGGGGCACAGCACAACGCATCCAACCAAACACAAAGCTGTCCCAATAGCCTAAGGCAGAATGAACATGAAAATTAAACATGTATGAAACAATGCTACTTAAATCAGTAGGATATTTTCAGTTAGGTCTCAAAATAACTATTTTCTGAAGACATTTTCCTATTTGGAAATGAAAGAGGCCATCACAATGTTTTTCTTTAATTCAATTTGTTATATTAAGCTGGAAGTCTGCCTTAAATCCTGGAAAGTATAAAATTTCAAGGCTCAAAGAAAATATTAATGGCTACTTTATTTCTGAGTTGTCCAGTTCACTGCAGGAAAATGCAACATAAACCTGAAATATTTCACATTCCCATAAAATTCCAAAATGTAATCTGGCCTTCAAATCTTCTGGTAAATTGTATCAAATAAATTATTTCTGTGCACTGTACTTGAGCACCAAACAGGGGAATGACTTCACTTTACTACTGTTTACCCATCCAGATAATAGACGCAACTATCATCCTCTTCTTTGCCTGCTTTGAATGATAATTTAAAGAACAATCTAGCCTTTCTTACCCTTAAACCAAATTAGTCCATGAGAAAAGATAATTAAATTTATTGTATACCATGAAAAGAAACAACTGCAAAGCAGATCTAAGAAAAAGAATTTTGAAATTATGGTCAGTTGAGTATATTTGCAGTTTTGTTTCAAAAAAAATAAAAATTAAACACTTCTCCTGAACTGCAGACTCCATACTTCCATTAAGCTACATTTTCACTTTTTTCAACCCAAATACTTGAAAAATCTACATCTGAAAAGATGTGCTTCTCTCCTCATACCTATCTTCTGAGAGCTTACACCTTTTTTCATGCTAACATCCACAATAATTGTAATTTGTTAAGTACCAGAATCACTAGTTCCTAGATGCATCAAATTGTTGATTTTAATGGGGCTACTTTCAAAGAAATGTGCAGATCAGTGTTAACAGGAAGTCTGGTGAAATCTAGCTAAAAGCCATAATGTGTCTGGCACTGTAAACAACAGAAATTATATCATTCTTGCTTCAAATTTCTCTAATGAAAAGATAATTTCTGGAAAAAAAAATGTACCCTGAACATAAATAATTGTTTCATTAGTTGAGCTTTTGGCAAAAGTTCAGTCACTTGTCATTTACAAACTCCACTCTAAAAAAACTCCACTACTAAACAAACCAAACAGCTGCTGTGAAAAAATTACTACAAGTATTTTTGAAATTTAGCTTTGTGGATTTGAACCAAGAAAAAAAATTACAATGATCAGGCTGTGAAAAGCTGAGCCTGAGAGGCTTCACTTGTACAGGATGAGTATTTTCACCCAAGCAAATTACATTAAATTCCAAAATTCAGGGTCACTCTTTGTTGCTCGATAGTTAGCAGAATTTTTGTTTATTGTTGGAGAACAGCCTTTAATGCAACATATAACTAGCAGCATCCAGGCAAGTCCTAGATGCTGCAGGACTTCATGCCATAGTCTTCAACTGAGTCCATAAAGCAAGCTTAAATTGCTTACAGAGATGGGCCTGCCCTGGGCAGTACATATATAACCACCATGCCTAAGAATCCTCTTCTTGAAGCTTCAAATAAACTTACAAATATCTTTGTTCCAGCCTTGGAAATAAGGCATTAATCTTAAATTTAATTCAGTAATTGTCACCTGAGTCTCTTTTGTCTGCGTCATGCATATTTTATAAGCTATTAATAAGTCAAGATAAAAAGGATGCAATATGAATGTCAAAGCAAATAAACTAACCTGGCATCTGAAAGGCTGTCACACAGGAAAACCACACAAAAGTAATTTTAGGCTCATTCATTAAAAGATCACATTCTTAGTACAGAAAAGGAAGCACAAAATCAAAACAGTAAATAATTAATGAGAGCCTGCTCCCATCCTCTGTTTGAGAAAAGAGAAACCGCCAAGAAGAAATTTTAATAGTCAAGGACTAGATCAATAGGCACAATTAATATCAGCCTTTCACCAAGGTCCTTATTGGGCACAAACTGACACAGAAAAATAAGACTTCAGAAATCAACAATGATGTAGATTCATCGGAAGTGAGTTCTCCAGAAAGGGATCACTTGGATTGTGTCTGGATAATAGAAGCAGGTTATAGCAACTTTATCTCTGAACTGGGTCCTGTAAGGGTTACTCACAACATCTTTTAAAATACAACTGGCTCCTCAGTGGTTAACCAAACACTGACTGGTGATCCTGAGAATTGTCTGATGCAGGGTTTTTCTTGAGCGGAGGAGGTGGGGGAGAACACTACTCTGTTCATCAGATATTTCTCAGTTCACAGCCACAGACTGGCTGCTTCAGCCCACACGTGTTCCCTGACCATTCAATTGCTGGCTATTTTTGGGTGGGTGTTCACTCCTTCTTTTATCCATAGAGAGTGCACTGAAAAACTCTTGGCTTCACTCCAAAACAGATACATGGTTGGTTTCTTTTGTACTGTGAAATATTTCACAAATGACAAAGACATTTCCTTCTCATTTCTAAGCCACTCTTGTTAATTATCAAGCTCTAAAACAACTTATTTTTCCTATGGATAAAAAGTCTTTTATGGTTTTAGAGAAGGCTCTCCCCAACACATCCTACGTGCTACGGAGTGTGCCTGGGCAGGAGACAAGGCAGCATGTTGTAACCAATAACCACATATGTGGCTTCAAAGGCAACTTTTTTGCATTCCACCTACAGATCAAGGGTGAAATCTTGGCCACATGTAATCCAGCAAGAATTTTTTTCACCAACTCCTTTGTTGCTAAGATTTTACCAGAGGAATTCGTGCCTCCCTGCAACAGGCAAGTTTACTGCCAACAACCAGTAATTCTTGCAAAATTCCCAATTCCTTGCTCAGCATTAAAATGAAATACACTCAAGGTTAAAAAAGAAAACAAAACCACAGCTTGGTTTAGAGGGAAGAAAGGAGGTTAAAGTTTAAATTTATTTCACTGCTATGTAAAACTGGGGAGATGATTTTGCTTTTTCTAACCATTTCTTCTTAGGTCAAGATACATTTGACTGTAATGCTAAGCATTTATTTTACCTGCTTGTTTCCCAGAGTTACTCTTAGCACCACAGCTTCAAATTCATCAATTTTGCCTGGTATGAAGCAATTTTTATAACTGAAACAGAAGCAACTCTGGTTGCTTCTTATAAATCTGGGTGATTTATACCCAGGCATTTTCAAAGCCTGCAGGAATACCCCCCAGGTGTAGTTAAAGTCAGTTTAACTTGGTTCAGGCAAAAGTAGAATTTTGAAGGTTGTGAATAAATACAGACATGCTAGAGAAGGGTCCGTGTGCTAGTGCCTAGGCAGAGAGGGAGGATTCCCACCTCTGGCAGAAGGCTGCATTGCTGGGGAGCACAGTGAGCTGCCACAGCTCTCCCTCTGCACAGCAGCTGCTGCTTTAATAGGTGCTGCCACAGCAGCTGCCCCCTTGGGATTGTCACCCAATCCCTTGGGATTGTCACACCAAATTGTTCCCCTGAATTTCCAATTTCCATGGACACTTCAAGCATATTGGTTATCATAATCCTGAACTGATCACATCCTCTTCTTCCTTTCTAAGAATTACAAAGGGATACATTTATTTTCCATGGTTATTTGTTACCTGTAAGCATTTTCTACTAGCTCTTGCTGTGTGTTCTGATTTGCATTTGTGAATTACTATTTCATCACAGATTTATGCTACT